CGCGATGAGCCGATTTTACAAACGATGAAGAGATTTTTTAATCGGACCGATTTTTGGGCAGGTGTGCGACGGCCTTTAGTAGAAATCAGGGGCGCAAATCCAGTTTAAAAAGTGGGGTGGGGGGACATATACGTGGTTCAAGAGTGTGCGAGGGAGCGAAGCGACCGAGGTGGGAGGGCCACTCCCCCTCCCACGGTAAGAACTTTTCCTATTTTTGATCTTTAAAAATATCATTTTTGCCCATTTTAATTGCAAGTATCAACTAGGGACCCTAGTATCAACTATTGTTTCTATCGTGTTTACATGCCACAAACTAGCTCCCAGCGGGCAAAAGACGTTGAAACAACGTTGAAACAACGTCGACAATCGACGTTGAAACGACGTTGAAAAATGGATTTACAATTTTATTCAACGTTACTATATCTAAATATTATATTTTATCGACAAGTTACTAAGGGGAAGTGACGTCACTCCGCCCCCACCTATACGGTCGCGGTTCCTATATTCAGTTTAGGCTATTATATATATATCTTGATATATATCAATCAGTAGTCATTTTTTATACTTGCATTTTTTTTCACTTAGTGTAGTGGAGACAAGTACAGAATAATAATATAACAGAAGGGGCTTATAATTATGCAGAACCACATGCGTGTTCAAAAACCTGGGGGGACATTTGATAGCATACCCCCACCCTTCAAAAAGTGGGGGGGGGGGGTGTCCCCCGTGTCTCCGTGGCATTTGCGCCCATGACAGTATGGACTGAAGAACACTGCATAATATAGCTTGCTATGAGAGAAGGAGGGTTGGAAGACTGAGGAAAGGAGGCAGGGAAGAAAGCTAAGGGCGGTAAAAAAAATGAGGCTGAGCGAGAGACAGACGGTGAGGCAAGGGAAGGACAGGAGGGGATGAGTTAGTAGTTTTGCTTCCCACAGACTAGGACGCTCTCCCAATCATAAACACAGATCTACTGATAACAGTTTATTTCATAAATCTATGCTGAGATATCCCCTAACCATTTTAAATGCATATGCTTCACAAAATATAACTTCTCTGGTGAGATATTGCGCATGCGCTAACACACTAACGTAGCCAATTTGTGTTCTGACTGGTATATGCAGCGGGCACCTTACATGCGAGGTCTTCCTCCTATTTCTCAAGAGCGGTATACTTGCAAAATATTATCATATAAATCTATGCTAGAATACCTCCTCCCTATTCTAAATGCATAATTTTTGCAAAATATTATTTTTCTTGTGAGATATTGCGCATTCGCGAGCACCGTTTCAGGCGTGCAGTATGGACTGAAGAACACTGCATAATATAGCTTGCTAACAGAGAAAGAGAGTTGGGAGACTGAGGAAAGGAGGCAGGGAAGAAAGCTAAGGGCGGTAAAAGAGAATGAGGCTGAGCGAGAGACAGAGGGTGCGGCAAGGGAAGGACAGGAGGGGTGAATTAGTAGTTTTGCTACCTACAGGCTAGGGCGCTCTCCCAATCATGAACACAGGTCTACTAATAACAGTTTATTTTATAAATCTATGCTGAGATATCCCCTAACCATTTTAAATGCATATCCATTACAAAATATAACTTCTCTGGTGATATCTTCTGCATGCGCTAACACACTAACGTAGCTAAATTGTGTACTAACTGGTAAATGCAGCGGGCACCATACATGCGAGGTCTTCTTCCTATTTCTCAAGAGAGGTACACTGATGAACTATTTTTATATAAATCTAGGCTAGAATACCTCCGCCCTATTCTAAATGCATAATTTCTGCAAAATATTATTTTTCTTGTGAGATATTGCGCATGCGCGATCACCGTTTCAGACGTGCAGTATGGACTGATGTACACATGACTAATATAGCTTGTTAACAGAGAAAGAGAGTTGGGAGACTGAGGAAAGGAGGCAGGAAGGAAAGCTAAGGGCGGTAAAAAAAGAATGAAGCTGAGCGAGAGACAGAGGGTGAGGCAAGGGACGGACAGGAGGGGTAAATTAGTATTTTTGCTTCCCACAGGATAGGGCGCTCTCCCCATCATGAACACAGGTCTACTGATAAAAGTTTATTTCATAAATCTATGCTGAGATATCCGCTTACCATTTTAAATGCATATCCATTACAAAATATAACTCCTCTGGTGAGATCTTGCGCATGCGCTAACACACTAACGTAGCCAAATTGTGTACTGACTGGTATATGTAACGGGCACCTTACATGCAAGGTCTTCTTCCTATTTCTTAAGAAAGGTATACAGATAAAATCTTATTATATAAATCTATGCTAGAATACCTCCTCCCTATTCTAAATGCATAATCTTTGCAAATTATTATTCTTCTTGTGAGATATTGCGCATGCGCGAGCACCGTTTCAGGCGTGCAGTATGGACTGAAGAACACTGCATAATATAGCTTGCTATGAGAGAAAGAGCGTTGAGAGACTGAGGAAAGGTGGCAGGGAGGAAAGCTGAGGGCAGTAAAAAAGAATGAGGCTGAGCGAGAGACAGACGGTGAGGCAAGGGAAGGACAGGAGGGGACGAGTTAGTAGTTTTGCTTCCCACAGGCTAGAGCGCTCTCCCAATCATACACACAGATCTACTGATAACAGTTTATTTCATAAATCTATGCTGAGATATCCCCTAACCATTTTAAATGTATATCCATCACAAAATATAACTCCTCTGGTCAGATATTGCGCGTGCGCTACCACACTAACGTAGCCAAATTGTGTACTGACTGGTACATGCAGCGGGCACCTTACATGCGAGGTCTTCTTCCTATTTCTCAAGAAGGGTATACAGATAAAATATTATCATATAAATCTATGCTAGAATACCTCCTTTCTATTCTAAATGCATAATCTTTGCAAATTATTCTTTTTTTGTGTGAGATATTGCGCATGCGCGAGCACCGTTTCAGGCGTGCAGAATGGACTGAAGAACACTGCATAATATAGCTTGCTATGAGAGAAGGAGCGTTGAGAGACTGAGGAAAAGCGGCAGGGAAGAAAGCTAAGGGCGGTAAAAAACGAATGAGGCTGAGCGAGGGACAAAGGGGAGGGGGGCAAGGGAAGGACAGGAGGGGATGAATTAGTAGTTTTTCTTCCCAAAGGCTATAGGGCGGTCTCCCAATCATAAACACAGGTCTACTGATAACAATTTATTTCATAAATCTATTCTGAGATATCCCCTAACCATTTTAAATGTATATCCATCACAAAATATAACTCCTCTGGTCAGATATTGCGCGTGCGCTACCACACTAACGTAGCCAAATTGTGTACTGACTGGTATATGCAGCGGGCACCTTACATGCGAGGTCTTCATCCTATTTCTCAAGAGAGGTATAGTTGTGAAATATTATCATATAAATCTATGCTAGAATACCTCCTCCCTATTCTAAATACATAATCTTTGCAAGATATTATTTTTCTCGGGAGATGTTGCGCATGCGCGAGCACCGTTTCAGACGTACAGTGCTCGAAATGGGTATACTACCCATGCATTTATAAGCCTTATACCCCATGTCGGTCAATTTACGGTGCAGCTACCTACTGATTTATACGCAACGTTATATGGATTATATATATAGATTTAGTGGTGCTGCCCCTGGGACACGCATTATTATATCGACAATCTTGTGTAAAATTATCAAATGATAGAATGCATGCAGGGGCGTGTACAGTATTTGTAGCAGGGGTGAGGGGGTCTAACCGTAACCCAAACTTGCGAGCACGCGAAGGGGGGGTCTGGGGAAAAAAATTTGAAATTATCCTCCCTTAGATACGTTTTCTGCGCGAGCAGGGGGGGGGGGTCCGGACCCCCTGAACCCCCCGGCCCTGTACACGCCCCTGGAATGGTATGGAAAAGATTCAAGAAAGAGAAATCGAGTTGTTATATGCATTAAATTTATCTAGAAAAAGCGCCCCGTTGGTGACGAGTTAGAGTGTAGGCGCGAGTGTAGGCGAATACTGTCTGATCAATAATACATAATTTCAGTGACCGGGTAGATTTTACTTCAAAAAAATAATGCGCACAGTCGGCGCTGCTCTTTTGTTACCGTGCAAAATGGCAGAGCCAACAGAACAAGACCGTAGCATGTTTGTTGCATTTCTTGAAGATATTATCTATAGTCCCATAAATTTAGCGTTGCTAGCAATTTGCGCGTTTCTTCTATATAAAATTATTAAGGGAAGGCGAGAATCAGTACCTGCCACACCCAGCCGTCCCCCCTTGCCGAAGTTAAAGAAACAAGATTTCGCGTTGCACCAGCTGAATCAGTACAACGGACTTGGTCCAGATGAACGAATTTGCATCGCAGTTAATGGGAAAGTGTTCGATGTTACGCGCGGACGTCGCTTCTATGGACCAGGTATAAAGAATATATGAACGTGATTTTGTGTAGTTTTTTAGTGACGTAATTCTTACATACAAAAATTGCCGAATCGCAATGGCAATGCATGTACAGTGCACTGATACTGACACTGACATGTCGCCCCAAGAAACGGTATTGCTAGGGTTAGAATGTCAGACAATCCGTCGCACAGCCTGGTCGGGCTAACACTGACAGTGTCATGCCAGTCGAACAATCGGAACACGGCCATTTCATTGCCAGACATTGGTTATAAAGTTAAGTCAAGTGGTCGTGTAATACCGGTACATTATTACATAGTATATTACTTAGTATTATTAGTATTACACTATTTATACAAGCAAAGTGATACATGTCTACAGTAAGGGCACAAACTATTCATTTTCTTCATCTTGCTCATTACCAATTCGCTGGACAAGTTGATACCAGTTGCGAGTTGGTGTAATATATTGATCTGACAGCTGCATGGTATGTCAGTGAGATCATTTAGAAGTTTGTTAGGCAAGACCAGTTGAGCCAAGGATTTCTTATCACAAATGCCTCCATCCTAGGTCTGTGGCACTGCCGGTGTTGTGTTACCTGTTGTTGGTGGCATGCCTTGCCGACCACGTCTCGCTCTGGACACCCCGTATCAATTATCGCATTGTGAGCTGCTGTATCGCGATACATCGGTGAATCGTTACACCCCTAGTTCCCTCTGAGAAAGCCTAAGGTGCTTTTAGCCTTTTTAACTGACTTGTCAATGTGTGCATTCCAAGATAATTTGGAAGTTATGTTTACTCCAAGGTATTTTATAAATAAAATAAAGCAAAATTTTGCCAATTTTTTGTGCATTTCCTTTTGAAGTGTAGCTCGTGCAAAGTACATTGCAGTTCTTAGCATGGAATGACGTTCCCAAAGTCTGCTTCCAATTAGTGAGATGCATTAAATATTCTTGGAGAGTTGTACAGTTGGTGATAAAATTGAGCCTGTTGGACAGAATGCATGCAGTCGTCACCAAAAAGTAACATTTTTGAATTTGCACAGTCTGGCAATTCATTGACGATAGAGAAGGAATAACAGGGGATTGATGACAGTGCCTTGCAGTATGCCGCAGGTGGTAGGTACCTTGCCAGACATTGCTTCCTTCACAACCACTTGCTGGCTTCCATTTGACAGAATTGCAGACATCTAACCAGATCACATGCAAAATAGTCCCAAGAATAAGACACTGGTTCTTATATAACAGCTAGTCTACTTTTCCCCTTCCTGTGATACTTAGAAGGCACTATATGGAAAAGTAGTGCAAAGAATGTCAGGATCCTTTTTCTGCAAAAAATGGCATTGTAGCACCTTCAGACTAACATTTCGTCCAATTCAGTTACCCCAGTGATGTGAATTGAACTGATGCCACCTGTTGGAAATTAACATTATTAAGTTTTTTTTATCTTAGCATATGTGTTTTGTACATAGTGGTTACACGTCCTGTCACCAGATGCTACACTCAAATGTCACACTGAATGTCTGGTTACTATTTTTTTAACCTATTTTACGTGATTGTGTTACTAAATTGCTCACAATGTGCATGTGTGATTAATATTTTACATAATATATATTGTGTACTGTATAATACACTAGTATATGTGTAGTATTAGAGATAGTGTATCAATATCCATAATCAAGTGCCTGATCGGGATTACCATCGACTGTATAACCGCATGGTAACTGTGCGTTTGTTATGCAGGCGGTCCTTACGGCATTTTTGCTGGTCACGATGCATCGCGAGGGCTTGCAACATTTTCCGTGGGCGCAGAGGCGATCAAGGATGAATGTGATGATCTCTCTGACCTGACTTCAGAGCAGATGGATTCTGTGCGAGAGTGGGAGCTACAGTTTATGGGTATGTCACTAGTGCCAAATAGAAGGATTGAATTTTATTGAAAAAGAAATGGAGGCGCATGATTACTGATGAATTAATAACATAATAACATTAATAATGTAACTCTTTAGCATATTGCAGTAAGTTGATCAATAGAGAACTACTTGACTAATGAAATCTCTCTCTTGCTCTCTCTCTCTCTCTCTCTCTCTCTCTCTCTCTCTCTCTCTCTCTCTCTCTCTCTCTCTCTCTCTCTCTCTC